AACTCCTCAAGCTCCTTTTCTCTTTTGAACATTTGTGCTTGGGTCACCTTTGATGGATCCAATTTTAATGATTGGATTCGCAGCATTCGAATGGCCTTGCGATACGAGGAGAAAGAATACGTCCTCGACAAAGAACTCAAAGAGATAGATGAATCCAAAGCTACTCCTAAAGAATTGGTTGAGTATAGGGCTCATGAAAAGGACGCAATAAAGGTGTCATGTATTATGGTGGCCACTATGACTCCTGAGCTACAACAGTTCTATGAGGACTACTGGCCTTACGAGATGTGCCAGGACTTTATGGAAAAGTACCATCAAAGAGCGCGTCAAGAAAGGTAAGAGATTTTCACCTCACTCATAACAGCCAAGATGAGGGATGGAGAGTCCATCATGACCTACTTGCAAAGAATGCAAAGGTATGTGGATCATTTGCTCAAGTTGAATGTCAACTTTGATGAAGAGCTGGCTATTGATACAGTCCTACACTCTTTACCCCCTTCCTATGATAAGTTCAAGATGACTTATCATCTGAGCAAGGAGGAGGTCACTTTGAGCAAACTTCAAGGTTTGTTAAGAACTACTGAAAGTGGGTTGAAAGGCAAAAGTGTTGAGTCCACTCTTACTGCTGCTGCCCCAGTCCTGGCTATTGGACATGGGAAGGGGAAAAAGAGGAAATCTCCTGCATAATGGAAAGTCCCATGATGGATCTTCTTCTTCAAGTGGATCCAAAGGCAAAGTTGGTTCTTCCCCTCCCTCTTCTGACCCAAAAGAAGCAACGTGCTTCTACTGTCATGAAAAGGGGCATTGGAAATGAAGCTGTCCAAAATACTTGTTGGACCTCAAGGATGGGAATATAAAGCTCACCTTCGCATGTATTTATACTATTTTGTCTAAAAACTCGTCACATGCTAGTTCTTGGGTCCTTGATACAGGATGTGATTTTCACATTTGTTCTGACTTGCAGGGGCTAAAAAGAAGTAGGGATGTGGAGCATGGGAAGATGAACCTGATAATGAGGAATAAGAAATCGTCGCCTGTCACCAAGATCGGGGTCTACTCTTTAGTGCTAAGTAGTGGGTTAGGATTAGACTTGAATGATTGTTGCTACTTGTCAGAAATGACGATGAATATTATTTCTTTTCATGGTTTGTACAGACAAGGATTTTTATTTTTATTTAATAATGAAGTTGGTTCTATTAATGCTTATTATAATGGTTAATTTTATTTTGAAGCATTGCCTTGTAATGGTGTATATGAAACTGTGATGGTTGTAGATAACTTACGAAATAATGTGTTGCATATTGATTCGTCTAATGGTTTAGACAAGCCATGCTTGTGGCATTGTCGTATTGGACATGTAACCAAGAAGCGCATAGCCCAACTCCAAAAGGATGGAGTGTTGGAGTCATTTCACCTCAGGTCAGATGACACGTGCGAGTCTTGTTTGCTTGGAAAGATGACTAAATCACCTTTCACTGGTTCTTGTGAAAAAGGTGAGGGATTGTTAGATCTCATACACACAGATGTGTGTGGGCCCTTCAGATCCACTACAAGGGATGTGAACCGCTTCTATGTGACTTATATTGATGATTATAGAAGATATGGATATATCTACTTAATCAAACAAGAATCAGAAACGTTTGAAAAGTTCAAAGAGTTTAAGCAAGAAGTTGAGAATCAATTGGGCAGGAAGATAAAGATGCTCAGATATGATAGAGGTGGTGAGTATCTTAGTATCGAGTTCCACGACTAACTTAAGGAGTGTGGAAGTGTTTCACAATTGACGCCACCTAGGACACCACAACTTAATAGTGTGGCTGAGAGGCGTAATCGAACCTTGTTGGATATGGTTCATTCCATGCCGAGTCGAGCTTCGCTACGAATCTCATTCTGGGAGTATGCCTTTAAGACTACTGCTTATATCCTTATTCTAGTCCATGAGGAATAAGGATATGGGCGGTTGCCATATCCTTATTCTAGTCCCAACTAAGAAGGTTGCCAAAACACCTGACGAGATGTGGACAAGGAAGGTTCCCTCATTGGCACATATCAAGGGTTGGGGTTGTGAAGCTTTTGCAAGACGAGAGACTCACGATAAGCTTGAACCTTGAAGTGAGCGATGTATTTTCATCGGCTACCCACATAAATCCTTTGGATACTTATTCTACAGACCTAGTGAGAACATGGTCTTTGTAGCTCGAAGGGGAGTCTTTCGCGAAAGAGAACTCATATGCCAAGAGGATAGTGGGAGGCAAATTGATCTTGAAGAGCTTCAAGATTCAAGTGGTGAAGGAACCTCTAACACTAGCGCTCAACCTGAGGAAGACAGTCCTACTGAACCGGTTAACGAATCGTTACCTCTTAGATGTTCTAGTAGAGTTAGCGTTCCACCTGTATTGTATGGTTTTCATATAACTGATGAAGGTGATATGTTTATCAGTGATAGTACAATGATAAATTTGGATGAACCTAATAACTGCAAGGAAGCCATCACGGGCCCAGAGTCTAAAAAGTGGAAAGAGGCAATGGACAATGAGATTCAGTCCATGTATGATAATAAAGTGTGGAACTTGGTTGATAACGTACCAAGTCGTAAGACAGTCGGGTGCAAACGGATCTTCAAGAAGAAGACTGACATGGATGGGAAAGTACACACATTCAAGGCACGACTGGTTGTGAAGGGCTTTACTCAAAGGTCGGGGGTTGACTATGATGAGACCTTCTCACCAGTGGCTAAGATCAAGTCTATCAGGGTTATGATGGCCGTAGTTGCGTTTCATTATTATGAAATATGGCAGATGGATGTGAAAACTGCTTTCCTTAATGGGAAGCTGGCTGAAGATGTTTACATGTGTCAGCCAAAGGGTTTTGTAGATGCTAAGTACCCTAATAGAGTGTGTAAGCTTGAGAAATCCATTTATGGATTGAAGCAAGCTTCTTGCAGATGGAATCTTTGTTTCGATGAGAAAGTCAAAGAGTTTGGTTTCTCTAGAAGTGAGGATGAGTCCTGCATATATGTCAAAGCTAGTGGGAGTATAGTTGGCTCGATCATTTATGCTATGACATGTATTCACCCTGATGTGGCTTTTGCTTTGAGCATGGTAAGTCGATATCAAGGGAACCCTGGTAGGGCTCACTAGATAGCAGTTAAGAATATTCTTAAGTATCTGCGCAGGACGAAGGACTGGATCCTTGTACTTGGTGGAAGTGATGACTTGAGAGTGTCAGGGTATAGTGACGCCATCTTTCAGACCGAAAGAGATAATTTTCGCTCTCAGTCGGGTTGGGTATTTATCCTGAATGGAGGAGCAGTGACTTAGAAAAGTTCCAAGCAAGAGACCGTGGCTGATTCAACGTGCGAATCTGAGTATATAGCAGCGAGCAAAGCGTTAATGGAGGCTATATAGTTAAAGAACTTCATTGGAGACATTGGAGTTATACCAACCATAAAGGAACCCATGGAGATTTTCTATGATAACGCAGGAGCGGTTGCCTTAACTTAGGAACCAATGGATCATGGTATATCTAGACACATCGACAGAAAATACCACTTTATCATACATCGGTTAGAAGAAGGACTCCTCGTGGTCAAGAGGGTATTGTCAGAAGAGAATCTAGCAAATCCCCTCACAAAGGGTCTGAGTAGGGTTAAGCACGTTCAACATGCGAGGAGCATTGGTCTGAAGGGTGATATTAGTTTTAGTGATTAGATAGATAGTTAGAAACTTGTAACAATTTAAATGTAATTGACATTTGATGATTAAGTACTGGAAGATTTATTTATGAGTAAATTTTACTATCTTTTGTCAATTGTTTATTTTGTGTTTCACTTTTGCATGTTTTACTTCCTGAATAATTAGATTGTTCAAATTATCCACAGTCGATCATACTTTGGAAGTAAGTTATGAGGATAGACTGTCATGAATTGGCTTGTAGATTGTCTAAGTGCTTGGATATAAAAAAGGTTTGTTGCAACGTTCATGAGTACTCCTGAAATAGGATTTGAGTATTGGATTAAACCCACGCTCACATGAATCACTGCATGGAATTTATCACGAGTGATTGTGAGACGATAATACCGTATAATCTTTATAGCGAGATATATGATTTGTTGTTTACGAGTTGGTTGTACATTGATAATGCGTAAACGCGTCAATAACTTGATGTTATAAAACGTATTGTTGTGTATGATTTGATGAGTAATAGTACAAGCATATAAGTCAAAGTTTATTTGTTCCCTTTACCTTAAGGGATAAAAGCGATATCTTGGGCCCCTCAATGATTTTGTGTTGACTTATGTGTCGGGCCCGGTCAGGACTGAATTGACGTGTTCAATTAAGTTCGTTGTCAAACAAATCAGAAATCGGGAAACAAATTGTTGGACATTGAGTATGACTCTATTCCATGTCTTTTTCCACACGATATCTTGTAGAATGGAGGATTACTACTAGAAAAACAGCCTTTTACGACGCGCAATGTGTGTCGTAAAACGCTCAGACGACGCGCAAATGCGTGTCAAGGAAGGCCCTGTCATAACGAGAGACGACGCGCTTTTGTGCGTCGTCTATTTACGACGCGCATTTACGACGCACATTTATGACACGCATTTACGACGCGCAGTTATGACACGCAGTGCGTATCAAGGAAGGCCCTGTCATAAAGGAAGACGACACACATTTACGTGTCGTAACCTTACAACGCGCGTGTTTATGACACGCAGTGTATCAAGGAAGCCCCTGTCATAAAGGAAGACGACACGCATTTTTGCGTGTCATAATTTTAAATGTTTTTGAAATTGTATATTTTTGATAGATTTACTAATTTTCAAATTAAATAACACATTAAAAATCTCATAATACAAAATAAAATACCATAAACAATAAAGATAATTCATTGCATTAATATGTCAAATACAAATAATCATTCCAATAGTAAGTAAATGTAATACATTGCTAATATTGCATAATATTTATTATAGAAAACAAAACATGTACAACATTTAAAGAAACCCATGACTAAATTCTCATTTGACAATTTCCTTTCTAAGAGAATAACCTGAATGTAGGAACTTTGAGAGGCAGCAAAGCATGGAAGGAGGTTGCTAGAGCTGTCAGAACCTGCACAGGGCAAATCGGTAACTTAACATGCAATACAATACAAGATGATATGATAGTGAAAAGAGAAAAGTGAATACACACCTGAAAGTTTGCACCTTCAAAAACCGGATCAAGGGTACTAAGGTCAAGCATCCAATCAATGAATAACTTGAAATACGGTCTGGAGTTGAATGATGTTTTCTTCTTCTCTGCATCCTTTTGAATATATCTCACAGTCACTGCTAACACCTGTTGCAAAAAATGTCAAATAATCTACTGTCCAACATATACAACTAATCACAAGTCTTGAGTGTAATTCGAGATTCTAACCTTTGACAGAAGAGACAGCTTGCTTACTCCATGGTCAACAGAGGAGATCTAGCCATACAAAGAAGAAGCAATTATGTTGATGAAAAGCATATATATATATATATATATATATATATATATATATATATA